AAATAAAATAAACAATAATTTGGGTCGTATAATCCACCAATCCTGGAGCACCATACTAGATGACGTTTATAAAAAAGCATAGTTAAGTCTCTCTACCATAATACTGTTGAATTGCGAAAATTTGAACCTTGATGTGAGTTCTTTTGGTTTTCCTATGTAATGTTTTTAGTTTTTAATAATTTACAACCTTTATTTATTATATTTTAATTTATTTATACAGTGAAATGTTTAACTTGTTAATTGATTATACAACGAGAAAAATACATTTATACTCGGGTTTGGAGTATGTATTTACAGTGAGTTTTTTTAAAATTATTTTTATGGCTATGTAAAAAATTTTAACTTATACAATAACTTATCTTGTTTTATTATTGTTACTTTTTAGTGTGTGGTAGTAGTACTGCTGATGAGGGGCATGCTAGCCCGAAACACGTGTAATATGTGTACAGAAACTATTACTACAGGTGATATAATAAAGAAATTTTGCTTTTTCCTGAACTAACTCTCATTGCTGTCTCAAACTTTAAACACCAGTATTAAGTCCTATTAATAAATAATGTCCAAGTAGACAATTAACAATAATATAATAATAATAGAATTTAAAAGGACAGTAAGGCTTTTACAATCAGTTTCAATACAACTCTGGGCATTCTGTTTTCTATTTTCTGCACATCATTAAACTGTAGTCAAATGTTGCAAGAGAGGAGAGAGGAAAAGATTTCAAACTGTTTAGTAACTTACACATCAACTTAGGATTCTTGCATGGAGTCTTATTTAAAAAACACTGCAGAAAATTGCCAATTTATGCATGCAATACAATTTTTCATTGGTTGTTATACAATTGCATGCATAATGCAGTGATTTTTCTGCTCCAACATCTCAAGGTCTTTCATAATTGCCACAAAAGGTAATCATGGCTATTTGTCAGCTGTGCAACTTGCTATGACCTTCAACAATTTAAATGTTTTCATGGGTTTCTGTTTCTCAGACATGAAGTTACTTGAGAAACAGAAAAATCATTTTCTGTTCCTTCTGAGAAACCAGTTTGTCCTCCTGTTATTTATTTGCAGCTGAGCTTGTTTCACATTAAACCTTACAGCCTAAAAACTGCATGACAACATTAAATGTAGAGGGAGCAGTAACCAAACATAGGCCACTCAGAAAGAAGAGAAAGGAAGGCTCTTTCTATCTCCTCTCCCTTTCTTCAACAGACCATACACAAAGTATCGTAAGCAATTTTGTCTAAAAATGCAACAAATATGGCTGAGAGGTGACCACAAAACAGTAATGAAGGATGGACTACAGCCCATCATTCCCTTGGGTTCTGCAAATTGGTGGTGGAAAAGAGCAACCTTTTGACCCTGTTTAAGACATACTTGTGCTTGGCAGTACTATATCATGCCACACGCACTGCTGGACAGATGGA